TACTATAGTATATTAATATATTATTATTATTATTTTATTATATATTATAATTTATAAAATTTAATGTTTTAAATTATAATAAATTTTTTATATATAATTATTTTATATTATTTTAAATTTCAAACAATAACGATCCGAACACGAACGAACGCATTACTGTTCGTGTTTGGTTCATTTAACTAACCGAACGAAAAAAAATTTGTTTGCGTTTGTCTCGTTTACTTATCGAACGAATCGAACACGAACTTATTGACGAACCGAACACGAACTGTTCGCGAACAACGAGCTTTTTTGACAGCCCTAGATGTATGCTATTGTTCTCAGTGGTTATTTGTTGCTATTAAACTCCATATAGTCGGTGTTAAGTTACAAACATTTTTGCTTTATTATTTTGTTGTTATTTCCTTGTAAGTTGTATTTCAATTTGTCAAACTTGTAACTTATTCTTATTTCTTAATAAAGCTAGACCCGACCCTCATATTTTCAAAAGAAAAAAAAGTATGTAGCTCCCTTAATTTAGGTAGGAAAATTATGTGCCCAGCTTATGATCATAAAATAAGGATAATTACATACATAACATCATGAAACATTGTTATTTACAAAATCTAGCATTAATGAAATATTTTTGAACTATCAAATTAATGTATTTAAATACGCCGCAATCAAATTATTGGGTTGTAATTTTATCGTGAATTTTGATATTTGTGTGAGAATTTAGAAAATGAGCAGAATTTGAAAAATGAGTGATAAATGTGCTAGATTTGTAAATGGCAACGTTTTGGGTGCTATGTATCTAAACAGACCGAAATAGGAAGCAAAGCCAGCAGGGGTGGACTCGCAGGGCAGCACATGCAGGCGGCCCGAAAGAACAGAACCAAAATCAAAACCTAAATTAACGGAAGCAGCGAGAGCCGCGATTGGAGATCTCCGATTATCGCCCGCCTGTTCTTTCTGATTCTCCTTCCGTTGGATCTTGTAGGTGGAAGGGGCGGCGATGGCTCCGGTGTCGGCCCTCGCCAAGTACAAGCTGGTGTTCCTAGGCGATCAGTCTGTGGGGAAGACCAGCATCATCACTCGATTTATGTACGATAAGTTTGACAACACCTACCAGGTTGAATCCAAACTCCACCATTCATTAAATTCATGCAGTTGTTATTGATAGAAATGCTTATAGTCATGGATCGACCATTATTTGTTAATCACTCGATTTATGTACGATAAGTTTGACAACACCTATCAGGTTGAATCCAAACTCCACCATTCATGAAATTCATGCAGTTGTTATTGATAGAAATGCTTATTGTCATGGATCGACCATTATTTGTTACTAGGGTTTTGAGTTTCTAGCTGATTTCAAAACGAGATCTTTCAGTTTCTTGTTAAACTCGGCTCAGGATATTTTGAATTCTGATTTTTCTGTGAATCACGCCCAAGAAATAGAACATAAGAAAGAAGAGAGAGAAACGAAGAGAAGAGTGAAAAATAATTAACATAATGCGTCGTCTTTGATATCTTTCTGATAAAATAATCTCTCTATTTATAGGGGAGATAATACAATATAATAATATTTATCGCTGATTTAATGAGGGTTATACAAAATATTCTAGGTATTTTACACATATGAGTATATCACGCAGCCACTCTCTGGCTCTGCTAGCCGAGCTAGTATGACTTCAGCTCGGTAGGGCCAGTTTGATTGGTTAGATTGAGTTGGCGTTGCCAATCAATTGAGCTTGAGTGACTTCAGATTAGTAGAACTGATTCGATCTGTTAGACTTTGTCGATTGGTTTATCTGGTATGACTGTCAATCCTTAATCCTCGGATGAAGAGTTTTTGCCGGCAGAGCGAGACTAAACCATCTGATAGAGCACGAATCACCATAAAATGATAGGTAGTTCGTTTCTCAACGAGGAGAGTCTATAGGATGACTATAAAACTCTGCTGTATTGTTGATTTTTGATCCCTAATGAGGAGTCTCGGGGCGTTGCGGGTTGGCTTATGATATTGAGGAATTTGGTCTTTATTTGGCTAGGATCTATCGAAAGGTAGGTTGCTTCATTCGATGACTATCTCGTACTGATTAACTTGGTTGTTTATATGTATTGTTTTAGTTCAATTGGTTTAGATTCAAATTGATAGGTCTTCTTTTTGTTCTCTTGGCTTGGTTGTCCTTCGCCTTCGACTCGGACGGCTACATCTGATCGGATAAATGGGCTTTATGATTTTTTGTTGGTGGGCTTTCGTTTGTGTACTTTTCTTCATTTTGGGCCGCTAGATATCCGGATCAACGCTGTTTCATTTTCTTGTCAATATCAATTGTGAAGATTTATATACATTTTTAATGGTTCTTATTTATTTTATGTTCTTATTTATTTACATATCTAACACCTAAACTTTAATTTTTACAATACATGCACCGTATGCATGATAAGGTGTATTCTATTTTTTAAAAGTTAAAATTATGACATTTTTGATGTGATATGAAAGATTGGATGATATGAAATATAATAATTAAAGTTGAGATCTTAGATATGTAAATACATAGGAATTTGGTGGCGTGTATGCAAATGCCCCCCAAAAAAAATTATGAAATGGGGCATTTACATACATACCTCCCAATTCTTATGCATTTATATATCCAACTCCAAAACATTTCATTATACATTTATACGACCCAAATGTTTTATATCACATAAAAAATATTATCATTTTAACTTTTAAAAAGTGAAATACACATTTTCATGCGTTGTTACGATTTTATATTTGTAAAAATTGAAGTTTAGGTGTTAGATATGTAAATACATAGGAATTGAATGGTATATACATAAATATTGCTATTTTTTATGTTTAGAACTTAAGGGCATGCATTTATTGTTCATGTACGAAGGAAATATAAAACAAGAATGCAAGTTGAACGTAAATTTGGAGATATCTTTGGGTTTATTTATTTTGTCCTAAAATTCTATATAGGAATGCTGGGAATTTAGCTATTATTTGCTTAAAGATTAAATATATGAAATCGCGCTACACTACTCTATTGTTTATTAACTAATTATATAGTCATTTGTTGGCATAGAAAAATAAAACATGTTCTTGATCAAGATGATTTTGTTTTAACTTAATTTTTGGTATGGAGTTGAAAACATTATTTGAACTTTTTTAGGAACTTTTTGTGGCTTAAAATCAGTGCTCATTTCTAAATACATCGAATCTAGTCATCATAGTACAAATCTAATCAAAATTCAATATATGTTTTTTGTAAATTATAAGTGAACAAAAGTCCCCTAAGATGCTTTCTTTTTTTGCAACCTGAGTTTTTCCATAGAATTATACTCTGGCAACAGGGATATAGCTGAAAATGACAGTTCTACATCTATTTATATGATAACTATTCAATGATTTCTTTTTTTTGCAACCTGAGTTTTTCCATAGAATTATACTCTGGCACCAGGGATATAACTGAAAATGACAGTTCTACATCTATTTATATGATAACTATTCTATGAAAACTTTCGCATACTATATTTTGCTAAAATTATTTTTAATTGGTTTTTTGCTTGCACTGTCTGCTAGATTCCAAGCATGCTGTTTTTTGCTTGCACTGTCTGCTAGATTCCAAGCATTACTTTGTCAAATTACTTTGTCAAATTTATTTGAATTTTATTGCAATTTGCATCCTTTCAATCCTTTTATGATCCCCAAGTCTTTCTGTCAATGCTCATTATCTCTATTGAGGCTTACTTAGATTGCAACACCTACTTGTATTATTTACTTTTTTTATTTTTATTGCGAGACCTACTTATTTACACTTCTATTGAGGTAAATGAGTGCTCACTCTTACATTTTTTGTATCTCCTTTAGTCATATATCATGTTTGGGTTTTAGTTTGTGCCTTTGCCCATATTTATTTATGAACTTTAGGGTGAATTTTGATTGTTTGAAATTACTTTTTCCCCTACACTATGGCGGGACTGTTGAAGCTTATCCACTTGAATTTCTATAGCTTAAGATGAGTTTAGATTATTTAAAATCCCTTATGCATTGGGATTTCCATTTATGTAATCTAGTGATTCAATTTGTTGAGAAGAAGTCTAAAAAATTTATCATTGATTGATAATGTTCTTTTTTTAACAATTTTTGAATTTTTGATGAAGCGTACACCATATAGCTCCAAATTTCTTCATATTCCTGATTTAGAAAAATTATTTTAAGACTTTTAAATCATAGAATATTCAATTTGAGAAATATTTGTTAAGTATAGTAGCATATTTTGCACCATGCATTGGATTCTCTTTCAAATTTAGTACTACTACGTGATGTTTAATAATCTATTACTTGTTTGTTTAGATACAAGTAGTCCTGTAAATCAATCAATGCACTCGATGAATAACTTGAACTCGACTCGATTAAGACTCGATCATGCTCGTTCAAATTAGTAAATAAACAAGCTTGAATAAATTTTAAAATTTCAAAGGTTAAACAAACTAGACACGAACATAATCGAATTTGTTCGTTTATGTTCACAAACAAACTCGTTTGTTGTTCAACAAGTAACTTGTTAAATACTCGATATTAAACTCTATAATAACTCGTATTATATAAATGATATATTATTTATATAAAATTTAATTAATTAGAATTTATTTAATTATAGACTTAATGGTAATATATTGTTATATCAATAATATTTTTAATTTAATTAATAATTATATATTTTTTTATTAATAAGTGAATGGTAATTTAGAATGAGATATTTACATTTAAAGAGAGTGACAAAAGATTTTTTTTGTGGAGTTTTCATAACCTCGAAAGTAATAAGTTTATGTTTTATGACTATCACATTGCAATTACCAACAACATTATTGCTATTATTTTTTTATTAATATGATTTAGTAAATGATCATCCATATAACTTTTATGTTCAATTTAGTTCTTTCACTTACAAAATTTGAATTATTATTGTCCTATCAATAATAATTTTGTAGTTAATTAGTAAAGTTCAAAGATTATAGAGTTCACGATCTATAAATTAGTAGTTGTGATTAGAATTGCAAAATGATTTATTAAAATTTTTTATATGAAAATCAATATTACCGTTTGAATTTTTAGCTCGTTTAAATACTTGTTCACTTATCATAAACAAATCAAGTTCAACCATTGATAAAGTTAAACAAATCAAAACAATTTATGAAAGCTCGACACAAGCTCAAGCTGAACATAAACAACATATAATTATACTAAGCCAATTCTGAACAATGTTGTACTCGGCTCGGTTCGGCTCGGCTCGATTACAACCCTTGATATAAGTGAATTAGAAAGTGTCTTTTGCCCTCAAAAAGTGATATATAATATTTCAAGCTTCCTGACATCGGCCTCTTACGCATGGAATTCACTCATAAGTGGAATTTCGATTCAGCTCATTTAGGCACATGCACATAAATACATACACCTATAATAAAATCTATTGGAGAGTATTTTATCTCTCCGAGAAGTATTAAATTCTTTCAACATTATCAACATTCAGAAGGCATGTTTAGCATGTTAAATTGTTTTAGTAGCACTTGCATGCATACATGGATATATGTTTTGTAGCATTTAATTCTTTTTGTGATTTAACTTTTGTATTCATCACTTTTTATATATTGATTTCTTCAAGTTATTTTGGATTTTTTTAGTCAGCACTATATTTTATATATGAATTAACAGGCTACTATAGGGATTGATTTTCTTTCGAAGACGATGTATTTGGAAGATCGAACTGTTCGGCTGCAGCTTTGGTGAGTTTATAATATTGTCACACCTTTCTTCAATAATTCCACTCTCTTTTCTTGCTCCTCTTCTTTAGTAACTCTTATGAACTAGAGAAATAGATGGATCCAAATTTAAGTTACCACCATTGAACTCAAGTTTTCCTCCGAGTAGCACAAATGATGCATTTCTTTCCCTTGCTAATGATATGCTAGGTATTTTGGTAATTTATTGGTTAGATTTGCAATGACCTTGTTGGGCTTTTTTTTATTTCATGTATCGCATAAGTTTTAATTGCATTTACAGTGTTTCAACCAAAATAACCTTTTCTTTGTGTAGCAATTAAAACATATTTTATCACACTAGTAGTTTCCTATCCCATGCTAAGATTGATTTTTAAAGGAGTTAAAATGTTATAAAGAGGATGGTAAGCAAGGCCAATAATGATTTATTTATTAAACTTGGTATTAAGGAATGAGAGAAAGAGTTTAATATAAAATAGCCATGGCGTAAGAGATACAGAAACGTTAATCACACTGGGTGCATTATGATAGTGCAATTTTAGTTGAAGATAAATACATATAAAAAACTATAATTGCTACCTTGAAAAAAATAAGTAGGGGTGTTTGATCTATAATCATCTTCTTAGTATTGTAACACAAGGATAAAATGAAATGCAGAATGGTTAGAAAATGTTATATTTGTTTTTTCGAGAGGAGCTGAAATGAATTCTGAATCATATTAAGGCCTCCTTAATTGAGTTTCTTGCTGTTGATGGCAAGTTCTCTGTTCTTAGCCCCTCTTTCAAAAACAAGCCAAATTTCTTTTTTCCCTTTTAGATGACTAAGATATTTAATTTCCTTACCAAATTTATTCATTTTAATTATGTATTTGATATTTTTGTTTTTGTTTTGAAAGTTGATTAAGGGTTTAGCCTATTAACATGACCAAAAAAGGAGGGAGGGGGTGAAATGGTTGTAAAATATTTAGAAATAAATATAAATTATTATATATATCAATAATATGACATACCAAAATTTTGAAGTCGTGTGCATGATTATTACTATAGCGGCTCTCAAATACATGTAATGCATAAATATTTTAAGAATAAATCAAATTAAAATTTCAATCTTATTTCCATTGGAGATTAAACTAAGCCTTGATAACTGATTATACTCAAGTCCCTTTATGATATCATAATTAACAACTCTACTCAACTAGATACTTCCAAAATATTTTAAACTATTTTTAAATGCTCAACACATGAGTTTGTTTATATTTTAGATGCGTTGAGAAAGTTTTTTGCTTATAAGTTGATATGATTGATAGTCATATCTTTTGTTCTTGAGAGTGTAAGTAAGCTTTTCATTTGGATTTAATTTGTTTCCAAATTAGGAGGCAAAATGTATGCAATTGCCTTTTTCTTAGCTCATGAATGGAACCTTTGTCTTCACCATGACACAACCTCTGTCTTCAATTGGTTATATGGACTCTTCAATCCAACACATAGCCTTCTCATAAGCGATTACAACCAACCTATGTGAGCTTCAGCTAAGTCTTACGTAGGAGGATTTGCGCCTAGCATACATATAAATTATAAAGTAAGCACTATTACCCAAAATGAATTAGTAATTACCCTTGTCAAATTTTGTTGTTTAGAGAATGATATATTTTGAAGCATATTAATTTCAATAAAAACTCTTTCTGTGAGTGCAATGCAAAGACTAATAGGCCTAGCAAGACCTACCCTTGTAAAAGTATGAAAAATCAATAAATCTTAAATGAACCCAGCCTAATTGAAGCCTTTTTGAAACATAAGCCCTTGAGGGAATAGTGGCAAGATGAAGGTGCTGGAGCTGTTTCAAATTCAAAGCTTATGCAATTCTAGAGAATTGTGTATGCTTGAATAAAGGGCGCTATTATACTTTGTCTTCGAATGGGCCATTATTAAAATGAATAAATTTGGCAAGGAAAAAAAAGTAAAGCAATCAAATGGTTTTGAATAAAAAATGTATGTACTGGCATTTTAATTTGAAAATCATACCAATAATATGTTTTCATCCTTAGTTGATTAATTACCATATATTCAATATGTTTCTTGGCGAAATTGATGGTGTAAGGAATTTCAGGAACATGTCTATTAAATTTTTTTATATTTTGCGGAAGCCTAGGAGTGAGGATGACTTGTCTATGCAAATTTGTCTAGTACCAAATTAAGATGAAATATAAAATTCGTGAATCTATTTATGTTATGTTTATAATTTTTTTTTATATATAAATTTCAAAATTTATTTTGAGCAACTGAATGAGCTACATTAAGCATATGACACAAAATATATGCTATGTTACGCTAATCTTTTGGATAAGTCTTTTAGTTTGTTCAACTTCTATCAAATTTGAATCTTCATTACGGATGTTTGACATGGGATACACAAGAAAGCTTGCGATAATTTTTTTTTTTTTGTTAAAAATTATTATCATAAAAAATTGAATCATAAAACTATAACTCCGAACTGAAAGTTTAGCAACCAAAAGAAATTCATATTATTGCGTTTGACTATTTTTTTTCTTATTTTTAACAAATAACAAGAAACGATAATGTAAACATAGAAGCTGAATGAGTGGATATGAGTGTACAAAATATGAAAGTACTCACAAAAGCAAGCATCACACTTAATTGAAAAGGTTAATTCCTAAAGAAGAGAGATTTTCACATTCAAAGTGGTAGTGATGTGATGGACATCCAAAATTTACAGTGTACAAATTTTCTAAAAAATTATTTGAAAACTAAAAAAAATACTGAAATCTAATACAAAAGAAAAGTTTGTGTTATTATATTAAAAATCATGATTATAAAATTCTAAATCAGAAAGTCTAACTTCTAATTGAAGTTTAGCAACCAAAATAATTTAAGATTAAAAAGTAGAAGACCTAGGGGAGGGAATAGAAGTGCAAAATAGGAAAAGAAGTCATCATAAAAGCAATTATTACACTTGATGAAATTGTTTAATTCGATGAAGGATGATTTACACATCTGAAGGGAAATTTTACTTAACATAGAATCATATTTTCACATGCACTAAACTTAAATTTATTGTTATAAAATGAATTTAGATTACACAGGAAGAAGAAAATTTTTGGAAGGAGCCTCAATAGAGCTAAACTTCTAAACAAAAAAAAACTTGCAAGGATGCCACATAAACGAGCAAATACTTGAAATAATCCTCCAATTATTAATAAGTGGCTAATTTAGTTCCAAAGTTTAATGGCACTTCAATCTAGTCCAAAACTATTGAAAATTTGACCCAATTAGTCCCTAGACTGAATTTCATGATTAAGCTTAACACCAATCAGTTAACTTTGAGGATATTTTTAGAATAATAATTTTAAATGAAATATGATTTTTTTCTTTCTCTATTTTCATGTGTAATAAATTATTTTGGCATTTAATTAAGGAGGTATAAATCATATTTTCATGTAAAATTATTTTTCTCTCTCTTCCTTGATTAAAAATATTTTTGTAATATATTAATGAGTGAAAAGTCATATGCACCAAATTATTTTCATATCTTTCTCTATCTTCAAGCAAAAATATTTCTATCTTTAATGATTAATTTATTTACTTTAGTCATTTTAATATAGGACTCTAATTATAATTATTTTTTTGGATTAAATTTTCCCCTTTAACATCATGCCCTTTTATTTTTGTATTCATTGTCTAAAACGAAATGCTATTTACTGAAAGGAAAAAAGATTTATGGAAAGAAGATCAATTGAATATGTACTATAAAAATTGTCTTTGATAAAATTTTTTAATTTGTAACATTGTCATTGCATTGAATGCATATTATCAAACCCAAAACATTTTTGTCATCGAGTGCAAAGCTACAAAAATGCAAAAATCTCACTACGCATGTTTTTTTCATAGTTTCCTTCGAAACATAAAAATCAAAGCTTACACAAAAAAAACTCTAAAGCTAATTTGATAGTTTATGATATCCTCCAAGTATCATTAAGTTTACATTTCTTTCTCTTGAAAGTGTGGGCTTGTAACAAACAAAATGTCACGTTAGTAATCGATGTATTGCACAATTTTTTTTTTAATTTTTTTTGGGATAATTACATACATAGCACCCAAAAAATAGTTATTTACAAACTCTAGCACCCAGACAATATTTTTGAACTACCGAAACAATGTATTTACGCGTGCCACGATCAAACTATTGAGAATTTGATAAAAATGAAAAAATACTGCATACAGGCGTGTCATAATCAAACTATTGAGAATTTGATAAAAAATGAAAAAATATTAAAAATGAAAAAATACGGGTTGGGATTTTATTGTGGATTTGATATTTGAGTGAGACTTTGAAAAATGGATGAGTTGTAAATAGCAATGTTTCAGGTGCTATGTATGTAATTGCCCCAATTTTATTTGTTGCTTATTAATAGTCTTTTATTAGACTATTCTTATGTGGACACATCTAATGTTAATGCTGTTTATGAGCTTTGATATTAATCAAGATCTCTTAATTGAAAAAAAACTCTCATTTATCATTCTCATCATCATCATCATCATCATCATCATAACAATTCATTCTCATTTATCATTCTCATCATCATCATCATCATCATAACAATTCATCTTGTTTACTTTTATGCCTTTATTACTTTCCTCGATATTTCGTAGTTTAATACCAATCATTTCATGCAAATTTCCAAAAAATTATGAGAAGTTGGTATCGTTAAGCTACATAGAGTAAACTTTATGTACTTCATTTTTTCTATTGGGTTCATCTCATTATGATTCTCGTATGCTCGGTTAAAAAATCATTAAATATAATAATTCAACATAATATAAAAAGCGCCACAACATAATATAAAAAAATTTACAACAAATAAACTTACCATCTTAAGATTTTCAATTTGAAAGTGAGACTTTTTTTTTCTTTGGATGGTCTTTAATGGTCTCCCTTATATCAAACTATAGTGTTAATCTCGCAATATTTATATGTTAAATTGAAAAAAATGTTGAAATAACTCACACCTGAACCCGACTTCGATGAACCAAGATGGTTGTCGATTTCTTTGTTAGCCATTTTTGTTGTTGACCACCATGTCTTGCCCACACACAGAAATGGCTTACATACACTAATACCCTAGACTCACTCTAGTTTGGTTGCACAAAAAAATGTTGATGTTTAGTCTCTCTCCTGCTCTCTTGCAAGATATGTGGTTGTTTAGTGCTAGGGCGTGAGCGGGATTTAAGTAGGAGTTATGTCTTGCCAAATAGCAATAATGACAACTTTAAATCCTACAAAAAATTAAATCCTGTTTCTCTTCCATTTTTTCTTAAATCTGATTAAAAACCAAAACATTGAGGGGTTTGAGGGAAATACAAGGTTACTTGCTTCTCAAACAAAATCCTCTTCTCCTTTGCATGTTGATTGTCATGACTATGCATGCTTTTGGGGCTTCGACTGCTATTTCTCCTAGTCGAATTGACGTTGGTCGAAGTAGAGCCTTTTCAAGGTTTCTTTAGGTTGAAGCCAAGGTTGCGGGTGAACTTACGAAGCAGTGAAGATCCTTGGTCACAACAAAGTAGCCAAGGTCACTGGTGCAAGTGAAAAAGTTGCGAAGGTTCAAGTGGCCGAAGTGACGAGCAACAAGGTCGTAATAGTTTTCATAAATTATAAAATTTTAATGTGGCCAAATTGTCCTCAATAAGCGAAGCATCTTCGTTAAATTAACTGGATCAACATAGGCACTATGTTACTAACTCATATTAATTTCATTAGTCAGATAAATTGGAGCATTATGAAATTTCATGAATAAATTGACCATTTGTTAATAGTCGAAGGACTATTTTGGACTTGTGCTCTCGTAAGAACTCGCAAATAAAAAACATTGCTAAAGAAGGAAAAAAATGCCTCCCTAACCGTCATCTTGACATATAAATAAAGCTCGAAGAGTACAACGACAACAACAACAAAGCCTTAATCCCACTACGTGGGGTCGGCTACATGAATCATTTTTCTCTATTGCATCCTATTTAGTGTCATATTTTCATTTAGTTCTAGTAAATTAAGATCATTTTTTATACAATAAGCTCAAGTCTTTCTAGGTATACCTCAGCCTTTCTTAACATAAGTCGAATCTAAATCATCTGCTCTCCTAATCGGGTCATCAGATGGTTGACGTTTAATGTGACCAAACCATCTAAGACGAATCTAAGACGACTTTCTCTAAT